AGCTAGGAGCGGAAGAAGTAATAGAGAGTAAGATGAGGCCGGTGCGTAATTTATTCTTGAATTTGAATGTAATAAGAGAACAAACTCTGTATAATAATACTACAGGTAATTTGTGTACATATAAATATACATATATATGTATGACTTTATTTTTTGGTATAATATATTTTAATCTAAACTCGCCCGTTGAAAAAAAAGAACAATCATTTCTACAACAGTTCGTCGCTATCAGAGTCATCGTCGCTGTCAATCAACTGGCCAATGATTTGGAATTCGGCGTTGAGGCTGCGTTCCCAGCGCTGGATGAGATCAGCTGTGGAGACGCCCATTGAGCCGCATGCGATGCTGAGCACTTGATTGGCATTGTTGCCGGCGAGCAGAGAGCAGGGACCGGGCTTCAGGAAAGTGTCGCGCGAGGAGCTGAGATCATAGATGTTGCCGTTGAGCGCCGTGTATACCGGTTCGCCCTCTCGCATGCCATCGTAGGCCATCAGCTGTAGGCGGGTTAGCCGCAGAGCATTCGGGGCATTAGGCGACGGAGCTCCGTTCAGAGCTGGACTGTCCTGGCCCTCGTGGCTGTCCTGACTATCATTTTCCTGCGACGTTTCCTCATCCAATTTCGCTTGACTGCTGCTGACATGTGTTCTGTATAGTAAGTAGACCTGGGCGATCTTTGCCGTGGCATAATAGCCCACAACAAACGATATTATCACTTGGGCAATGGGACTCTTCAGTAAAGGACGAATCGAGCGAATAGCCGCACATATATTCAAATTGGCTAGCGATTACAATAGCTCAAAGGTGAATTCGAGATGGGTTAGCCAAGGTACTTACTAGCGTAATGGAAATTCGCCTGCAGCACCTTCAGAGGCGACATTCTATCGGATGGTATATTCGATTCCGCCGATTACTTTATTTATATACATATAGTATATATATATGGGAAAAATATTTTTATTTTGTGACACATCAAATTTTGTGAATTTTGTTATTGTTCGTTTCTGGCTTCTCGATGAGTCAAGAGTTGTATTCGTTGAACGAATGATAAATACCCTGCAACTGCAGGCGGGCGCATTCGTGTACTGTATCATCTATATTATTATGATTTGACATTCTTCTCTAACTCTATTTGTATATATTTTTGCCTGTCTCATATTGACTTTCTCTCTCTTCCTATGAGCCTCTCTCTTTCTTTTTGGTTCTCCTGCTCTCTCTATCTCTATTTCCCTATATCTCAGAGTCTTTATATCGCTTTGTCTCTCTCTTCTATCTAGCCTCTCTTTTCCTGCCAATCAAGTACAAAATTTAATGAGGATTACCCTCTGAATATAATTATATTATATATATTATGTTTAATATAATCGATATTTATCGATATATCAGAAAAATGTTAGTTTCAAATAATTTTCATATAGAGCAATATTAATATGGGTAGCTGAATGTCAATATTGAATGTATATAGAATACCCTACATTGATAATTACGCTTTACAGGGTATTTATATGAAGAAATATGAGAAAACGGCAAACACCAAACGCCAAACGCCATTCTATGTAATTAATTTATTATAATATGGGCAACTTGATAGCACCTGGCGTGTGGCATACGCACAGGCACATGCACACTCACACGCACACGCTTAAACAAACACGCATACGTATACGTAATCCAGAGGCTAATAATGCGCATACGTATAGCCAAGGCACTGTTCAGTTCATCTGCTGTTATGCCATCTGACAGTCTCATTTATAATATTCGCATTTCGGCAGCAATTTGCATTAACTTTATTGCCCATATGTGCGCGCATATGTAGCGAGGACTTAAAAACATTTTCGTGTTTGTAACTCATCTGGGCGTTTGCTGTCATTCCGTTTGCTGCCATGCAGTTGTCGACTGTATTAAAATTTTCTCTGAAGATATGGGAGCGAAGGGAGTGGACTTTATATATCCCTGATACATTTTATCATTAGATCTTCACTTTTCTGGTAATCTAATAAATATTTTTATCCATTTTTTTATTGGAAAATTATATTTTATTCTTAGTGGAGCAGACTTGTTCTTCTGAGGTATTACAATTTTTAGGCGGAAGAACTATTAGAATATTAAATTCATTTATTATTTACTTAATATTGTTGTATTATTCTTATATTATTTATTAATGATTTGTGATTTATATAATATATTAATTAATTTTATATTGTTATATATTGTTACTTTATTTTTTATTTATTATTATTTATTTTTTTATTCGATATATTTTAATGTAAAAAATTTCAAGGGTATTCAAGCTTCGGCTTGCCAAAAATCGACATTCGTTTATGTTTATGAAATTGCCTGTAATTGGACTTTAATATGACTTAAAATTCTCATAACAAATATTTTTTGTCGGCTTTTGTGTAAAAGTATGCACACACACATGCGTATATAAAACGAAAATATGTACAAGCATACAAATTGGCACACATACATATTTATAATGCTGCAGGCAAGATAAAAGACGCTAGCTGGAAAAATTGACATTTTGTTGGGCTAACGAATATTTGAGACCCTGCTTCAAACTATTTAGTAGTAGTATATTTTGTTGTAGTAGTACTTATATTATGTTGTGAGAGTTTAATTTTCCTTGGATTTATTCTATAATGATGATTCTGTATGTAAGTATATTAAAAGTCAAAGATAATTAATACATAATATCATTAGATAATCTTCGAATCTGACTGACTTCGATAAGCGCAACAACAATTTATTAAGGAATTTAAAGAACCCTTAACCATGTCAATATATGTTTCCGCCCAATGTTAACATAATCATCTTTTAAACAAAGTGCTTCAATATGTGACTCATTTTGCGAGTAAAAAATAGTATTATCCCATAGGAAAATTGTTGAACAGCTTGCATTGCATTATGCAGCAATTTAAATTTGCATAACGTTGATTTTGGTTGGAATTTAATGCACTCGTGGAGCAGCTACAGAAGAGCTTACATTACGTATACGCCGTCGCTTACGTCGATCACATGGCCCGAGGATTATTTGCGGCTGGAATGTTGATTGCACAATTACAAAATGATTGCACAATTGCAAAATGGTTGCAGAAGTAGATATCCTGTACTTTCAGAAAATATAATTTAGAATATTTGGAATTTTTCTATAGGCACATCTTTAATTATCAAATTGAATGGGAAAATCTATAATATATAAATATGAAAATATTTACAGGGTATTTTTAAATCAGTTCCACTTCACTTGCATGCCTGCTTCAATTTAATATAAAAACATATTTTGCATGCTGTTTAAATATTTGGTTATTAATAAACTTTTCAATTGCCAGCAAACAGCGTGACAGCTGCTCGCTCGCATTAACTTTTTCTTTTCGTCTACAATGTTGGTTCATTTCTTCTTCTTCTTCGTTTTTTCCTAGAGAGAGGCCTCCTCGTTGGGCTTTGTGCAATTCAGAGGACGTAGGACTCAAGCTGTGCCTATATTTCAATTAAATTGCTCTGTGGATTGTTTAATTGGGGCAGGCAGCGCGGCGCTATTCGGGGGACACATGTCATAGATTAATATGTATAATAATAATAATGATTTTCTTTGTACCTCTCCAGGTTCAATGACCTCTGCTTCCAGCCACTGACAGTCGTTGACATAGCGATACTTTTTGGTTATCTGTACAGCCAAAGGGGACCACCTAAGTGTAGATGCCGCTCCTCCCACTTGGAACCAGAATATCATACAAATTAAGGGCCTATCTTAATTGAAAGCTCCTTTGCTAAAAATAAAAGCAAAGCAACGACCTTTGAATTTAAATTTCGCTTTAAAGCAACAAGCTAATTTGCCTTTATCATTTGTTCCTATAGACTGTGCGATACTATTTGGTATCTACGATTTAAAAAGATAGAATGTATATATCAAGATATAATTGCTTATATATTCAATAATATTCTCTTAGTAATATATGAGTAAATTGCAATACTGATGTACATTCCATTTGGTTTCCATTTTCTCTAATCAGCCAAGCGACTTTATTAAAGCCAATCAAATTCAGCAACAAGAGACCAAATCCACTTTGGCCTTATCATAAAAATCATATAAATTACGCACACAAAATAAATAATGGCAGTAATAAATAAAAACAACGCGCAATAGGCCATTAATAAATGTAAAAAAGAAATTAAAAACCATTAAGAGTTTATAAATAATTTAAAGCAAAGTGTTTTTTTATTTTGTTCCATCACTCGAGGCTCTCTGCCCGCCGCATGCCGCAGCAGCTGATGCCCCAAACAGCTGGACGCAAATGTTTTGGGTAATTTGAATAATACTTTTTTGTTCGCTCTTGGCAAAATGGTCCAAAATTAAACCCAAAACAGAAGCGAGGATCCTGTGCGCATGTCCTGTGCCGAGATGCGCTCTCGGTTTTATGGCAAGCGAGAGCTTTCATCTAGATAAAGCCAGCATCCATTGCATCGAGGGCGATGCCGCTTCAGTAGCGGACCAGATTTCAAGCGTCACGGTTGGTCAGCGCTTAGCTTCGAATACCTTAGCTAAGGGGAAGCAAGCAGAAAGAGACAGAGACAGAGACAGTAAAAGATATTCCTTGAGAGAGCATCGCGTCATGCAGTTCCAATTGTAAATTCAGAAAGTTGAAATTGTTTGCTTTTTGTAAGCTAAACAAAAACTCGCACTTAAACACTCATTTGGCAGCTCAGCTCGTGTATGTTGAAATTAATTTTACAAAATATGCAAATTAATTAAATGTGCTCACTGAACGTGTAATACAATGACAACGAAATATAAATAAACAAAATAGTATTACCATTACTAATATTATGAAGTGACTGCTGGAGAAGCTTGATCTTTTAATCATGTGCTGAAATATGGAAATAATCATTATTGGAGAACTGCAAACTTTTAATAATAATAAAAAAATGTTTAACTAATTATATTAAATTAAGTTTTGTGTATAAATGCAGCGTATAAGAATTGCAGTAAAAGCATCCACATTATTGGCGGAAAATTGTGAAAATTTTAACTGGACATTTATTTAACAATTATGACAATCAAATTAAAATTACATCTAGAAATAAAGCACGAAACAAATAGAAATATTTAAAAACGACAACGTTGGTGCCATTTGAATTTGTTTGTATTACATTGATTGATATTTTTATTTTAAGAATTTTTATGATATTTTTAATTCACGCGTCTTTTATTTACACGCCTGAATTTATTTGAATTTATTAGAAATTGAATTTAACTATTTCTAGCATTTTTTATACTTTAGTTGTACGACAAATAGACAATTTTCAAAGTATTTTCGAACAGTTTAATGTGATAAATATGATTATTTAGAATTTCTTAATTTACCCACAGCGCAAGATTTGTATGATTGAGGTATACCTTAATTATTATAAAATAAAACCAACAAAAAATATTTCCCTCAGATTCTTTCCACTGTATAATTGTACTTCATACGATTTAAGTGGTCAAAAAGAAGCCTACTATTAAAACACTTAGAACATTTTCAATGTATCGAAATACTCAAACATGCTTTTATTACATAATGTTCTTAATATTTCTTGAGCTGGTTACAGGACCAACATGTAGTTTGTTGTCGGCCTTCCATTTTGCCCCAAAAAATGTACACTCGCCCAGGTCTACCCCCACTTAACCTCCTAATCGATATTTGTCTAATGGCTGAAGCTAAAAATAAATATCGTCCCTAGGATTCTAGCTAAAATAAACAAGAAAAATATGTTTCTAATAAAGTAATGAATATTTTTATTCCAAGCATTTTCTTATGTTAGCATATCTTCTATTTTTTATTTATTATTATTTCTTTATTTTCCTAAAATGCTTTAGTTCATTTGTCAAACATTTTTCTGCCTTACAATTTGCTCATATATTTTTAAGTGCAATATTAAATATATTAAAATTGCATATAATTTTTTATTTTATGTATCTAAAATATTTATAAATAATATACGTTTAGATAGCATTTCCTGCCTCAGTTTTTTTGCATATTTTGGGTTTCCTCAAGTCCTATACATCTCTAAAATGTTGAACATATTTCGATCCACCCGCAGATAGTTTCGTTCCAAGGATTCTCCACTGAATTTCTATTCAACACCAAGTCGCATGTTGCTTAAAGTTTCGAACACAGCTCGAGTAAATTCTCGCAGAGTTATTTGCAACCTTTTCCGGCAAGTTTCGCAGAACCTTCTTTTATTATTTAGTAGCTTCATAAAGTTCAACTTCGCAGCTTTTATACAGCTCGTCATGTAGAATCGTAAGAAAGCGGCAAGCACCTTAAGTTCTTCCTCGAAAAGCTGAAACGCAGCGACCCACTTAATATGCGTCCCCCTTTCTAAACTCCCTCTCTCTCTCTCTGTCTCTCTCGCTCTTAGCGGAAAAACGTTTTAAACTAGAAACTTACACCCGTCGCTCCTTCTCACTGCATCTCGCTCTCTCCATCTCTGTCTTGGTGTTGTGGCATCTTTGTGGTGTAAAAATAAAGATTAATGCGAGTTCTTCACAAAGTAGCACACTCTGGCTCTGGCGACAGCGCACTGGCTGAGAAGAAAAAAAAATATTCTCTTAGTGAATTTTATATAATACCTGAGTTAGCTAATACCATGATCATCATTTCGTATGAACTGAAGCTAATACCCTGGCTGCTGCTAATTAAATATCAACTAGAGCCAGCAGTAGGCACTTCTATTATGTCTGGTTCTCTTATCGTAGTGCCCCAGGTAAACTTCAGTCGGAGCTGAAGAATTTAAATTTAAAATTTATATAAATTATTGTACATGTGCCAGGGTATTTAATTTACAGCACTCCCAGGCTAACAATTCGTTCTAGTTTACCTTGTTTCTTAGCCGCTCTCACCCTGCCCCTCTCTCTTTCTCTGTGTGTGTGTGTAATGCACCTCGCTTTGGTATGCCTTGAATGGGACTCATTTTTACAAAAAACCGGGCCGCCACAAACAGTACTAGCAGCAGGAGAAGGAGAAAGAGCAGTTGTAGGAGCAGGAGCAGGAGCAGGAGCAGGAGAGAGTGAGCTAAGACCAAAGCGCCGAGTTGCCGGCACTTGACTTGAAATTTTTCTAGCTCAAAGCTGAATAAAACAGCATCGTCCTTTTCGCCTTTCCTGTCGTTCTAAAAGCATGCAATTGCGTGAATGGAGCCTACCAACAACAACAACAACAACCAACGTCGACGTCGACTACGACGTCGGCGGCGACGACGACGACTTATGAGCTCTGCGGCTTGCCACTGTGTACAATTTCAAAGTACTATTTTTGCGTTTCACCGAAAAAATGCGGCCCCAACAAACATTCTAGATAAAAGAAGAAGAAGAAGAAGCAGACAAGCTTAGAAGGGGGCCGCGCGGTATGTGGCGGAGCAGAGGAAAACGATTTTGTCGTCAACGAAAGCTTATCATCAGCATCCTATCGCTAGCTCACATTTATTCGCCACTCAGCTGTGCCCAATTCCTAATACGCTGCTAAAGCGTGAAAGAGAGTGGATTGGTTTAGTCGTTCAGAAGGCCGAAAGAAAAGATTTCTTTTTTGATTATTTATTGTACTTAAATAATTATTATTTTACTTGATTCATATTGAGCACAAACAGATTTTCTTTGTAGCATCAATGCACATTTAGCTTAGCTCTTTTTTATTACAGAGTATCTTACGGTCTCTAACTCGATCTTTGTCATGGGATTTCTGCTTTGAAAACTGCTTATTCCGTTGATATTAGATGTGACCCAGCCCGCATATATACCATGCTTCGTCGCATTTTTAATTAAGCTTCGTTTTTATTTCTATTTACATTTGCTTTTTACTCAAACTGTTTGTAAACATAACACAAAATGCAAAACAGCAGCAGCAACAACAACAACAACAGGATCAACAGCAACAACAAAACAATATAAAGAAACAAACAAAATGGTTTAATAGCCTCCTTCAAATCTTTTCGCTGTGGCAACAATTTTTTTTTTTATTTGTGTGTGTGTGTGTGTTTTTTTTTATAATTTCACTTTTATTATTTCTATATCTTCAACTTTGCTCATAAAAAAACAAAAACAAAACACAAGAGCAGGAAAAAAAAATACGTATATATAGATTGGGTAAAAAAGTATCTCGGACAAATCCACTTCAGCTCTTACAGATCAGGAAAACCTTTTTATTTTTTGAAGGTCATTTTTTACTGGCATAAGGTATTTTTATTGCACTATAAGAAGTGTAACAGATATAGCATATACATACAGACATAAATACTTGATTAGTGTTTATAGATGAGCTATATGGTTATAGATCTGTTAAAACCAGAATGGTAAAGTGTGAATATATATGCTTTAAAGATTTTATATTCTACCTATAACTATTATAGAACTACTTCGGCAGAATATTGTATTATTTTTAGAAATACTAAAGTAGTGTATTAATAATTACTCACTTTCTGATACACTTTTTCTCTATTTTCCGCAAATATTTCGAACTTTTTCTCAATAGTTCAGACTAACTTATCATATAACTCCTATAGGATCGTTTATTTGCTAGACTACGCTCCATGATTCACTGTGCCCATATTTCATATACTTTTTTATAAGTCATTCGCAGTGTATTCTGTAGTCGCTTTCTGTAACTCTTTTTTCTCCTTTCACAGTCGCATTCCATTTCCCATTCTCTTTTCTATTTATTTTGTAGCTAAGCATTTTTACATTTTCCTGTTTACATAAGCAATTTTCACATGGTTTATATTTTTTTTATGGTAAATAGAAATTTATAAGTGGCGTCTATATATCATTTATAAGCTAGATTTGTGCGCTGGAATTAAGCCAGAAAGGCAAAAGCAAAACCTTTCGAATTTGGTTAAGCGAATTCACAAACAGCAAACAACTCTTCAGAACAAACAACTTTGTTCTGAAGAACTTCGTAGGAGCAGCTTCATAAATATTACTGACTGCTTCAATTCGTTGAGGGTTAATGCAAAAGTACAAAAAAGAGATACTATGGGTAATATCGATGAGTGGCACTGTACTTTTCATCTCAATTCAATTGTGGACTTTGTTGTCATGAATATTCGTAGTTGTGATTCAATGAATGTGAATGAATTGTAATAAATATGTTGGTGGATATATATAGAAATAAGGAAAATACTTGGAAATCTGTATTTGTATGAAATATTTTTGTTTTTCTTTGAATTTAACTGAAATAATCATTATTAGTTCTGAAGAATTCACTCTATCTCTATCCCTCACATCTGTCTTACATT